CAAAAGGATAAAAAGAAAAATAGATAAATTGAGCTTAAAATTAAAAACTTGCCCTACGAAAACCCTTGTTAAGAGGATGAGAAGCTGTCGACTGAGAGGAGATATTTGCACAGCACAGCTCTGCCCTGCCTGCTGTTGTGCCACCATCCCAGAGGCTTCCTGTGCCCACTTATTCATCTCCCCATGTTTTACTCTCTTGAGTCATCCCTCTGTCCACCGTGTTTCCATGCGTCTGGTTACTTGTGTGTTTAACATCTGCTGAATGTCTACGTGGATGAATAAGCCATGCTTCCTACCTTTGGGAGAGACAGACAAATGCAATGTATAGGGGACACGTGACAAATGCCATGACCCTTGTCTGCACAAGGCAGCTTGGGCGCAAGAGAAGTGGTGTCAGCTCTTGGACAGAGGTGTGGGGCCAGCCCGTCAGAGGAGGCAGGGCTCCAGGCGAGTCTTGAGAGTTAGTTTTTCACCTATGTTGGCTCACCCAGATAATCTCCCTATTTTGAGGTGGGCTGATTTACAGCCTTAATTCCATCTGCAACCTTAATTCCTCATTGTCATGTGAAATAATGTATTCCCAGGCCCCAGGGATTAGGATTTTAACATTTTTTGAGGGCCATTATTCTGCCTCCCACAAAAATAAAATCTAGATACAGATCCGTTCACATGGAAACTTGATTTAAGGACTGAGCATTGTGAATCCATAGGAAAGGACTGCCTATACCATAAGTGCTGCTGAAGACGATTATCCTTACAGAAAATTGAAATTGGAGTCTAAAGCTTCTGGATCCAATTCCCATGTGTGTTATGGTGGGGAGAGCGGGGAGAATGTCCCACACCACCAAGCAGTTGTCAGACACCAGCAGGGTGACCTACAACTCAATTCTGTGACAATTCAAAAACTCCAGAGACAGAAATCTGAAATAAAAGGGTTTATTGAGCCATTGCCAATGCTAGCCAGAAAAAGGACTGAGTCATGGGGCAGGAAATTTCAGCTTCCCCAGCAGCAAGGCCATTTAACAGAAAACAACTTATCCGCCAGACTAAAGAAACAGGGTACATTTGTAAGGAGTCTCAAGGAAAGTAAGTTGTTTACATTTACATTGACTAAGATAAGGAAGATAGGCTAACATGAAAGTCCCAGGTTTAGGTGGTCAGTCCATGGCATGTGGATTGGTTGTTGGACGGTGGTCAGGGATGGTCACCTGTAAGGGGGATGTAGTGGTTCTGGGCGCTTCTACATAATTACTGAAATGACTTCACTCCAGGAGCTGGAGTCTCTGGTTAGCTAAGGCCAGAGCCAATTGCCTGATGACCTTCCCTTGCATGTCTCCCCCATCCTCTGGCCTTTAGGTCACTTAATTTAGGACAACTTTGAATTTTTCCCTGCCCTCTGGTATCATCTACCTGGAGAGCGTCAGATTTCACAGGTCAAGGGCTCAGTCCTGCAAGGCTTCAGAGGCCAGTTGCTAGCCCAAGGTGCTCCTGGCTGACCAGCCATAGATGAGATGTTCCAGTGGCCCCCGCCTTAGGATCAATTAGTTTGCTAGAGCAGTACACAGAACTCAGAGAGATATTTTACTTACTAGATCACTGGTTTATTAGAAAAGAATATCATTCAGGAAGAGCCAGAAAGAAGAGATGCATAGGGCAAGGCCTGGGGGAAGGGTGTGAAATGCCCATGCCCACACCGACTGGAAGCTCTGCAGCCCCTCCTTTGGGCTTTATGGAGGCCTCACTGCATAGGCATGATTGATTAAATCATTGGCCATTGGCAGCTGATTCAACCTGCAGCTCCTTGCCCTTCTCTCCGGGATCCTGGGTGGAAATGAAAGTTCCAACTCTCTAATCAGACCTGGCCTCCCTGGCAATAAGCCTCCCAAGACTGCCTGAGGGCTTTCAGAAAGTTCCCTTCATTAATGCAACAAAAGTCACTCTTATCATAGGAAATTCCAAGAGTTTTAGGAGCTCTGTGCCAGGAAAGGGTCAATGATCAAATACATATTTCTTGTTATAAATCACAATATCACAGAACCCAACCTTCACAATACACAAAAGTCATTCCCAAGTGCATTAAAAACTGAACTGGCAAAAGAAAAACTGTAAAATATTAAAGAATAACATCTTTATATATATAAAGAAGATACATTTAGAATATATACACTTCTAATATTTATATTCCCAATATATATATTTGGAACTTTATATATTAAGGATAATATCTCTATTACTTTGAGGCAGGGAAGAGTTTCCAAATACAAAAAATAAAAACTGCACAGAACAAAATTGTTAAATTTGTGTATATTGAAATTGAGAACCTTCTGTTCATCAAAAGCACCTCAAAGAGACAAGTTAAGCCACACACAGGAAGAAGATATTTAGGACACATATGGGTGAAAAAAATTTAGTATCCAGAGGGGGAGGAAGTGTACATACATGTATACATAAATACATAGAAATACATTTTCTACATCATTGATTACACTAAAGATAATTGAATAGACACAGACATATAAAAGGAAATACAAATAACCTATAAACCTAGATAAAATGTTCAACTCATTAGTAATCAGAGAAATGTAAATTTAAACTATAGTAAGAAACCATTTGATGCCCATCAGCCTGTTAAAATGCCTGACAGTGCCAATCCTGAGAGCTGGCTGGGGTGCAGCAAAGAGAATGTTCACACATACTGTCAGTGGCCTGAAGTGAGAGTACAGTTGGCAACCCTAAGACCCAAGAATGCCACACCCAGGTGTGAATTCACAACAGGAGTAATGATTTCACCAAAAGAGGCAAAAACTTAGTTATTGCAATGTTTTGTAACCCTCCAATGAGCCACAGGACATAAAAAATAGATAGTATATTTGTGGTATTAAAATTTCATTGGGAGGATTAGGAAAACAGTGAATGAAAGGCTCTTTAGGGGGTCAGTAATGAAAAAGAAATTTGAGAAACCCCATCAGAGAGAAATGCTGGACCAGGAGGAGCATAGATATGCACACAGAACCAGAGTCCACACCAGCAACCAGCCCCCATTCTCCAACGGCACAACAGAGATGTAAAATGTGATGCCTGTGAGATTACATTAGTAAAATGCAAGACTGTGCATCTGTTGGGGGTTATGTTTGTGGTCCTCGGTTCTTGTCCCTGCTGCAACAAAAAACTGAAGGGCAAAGACACAGTAGTGGTGCACAGCAGAAGTTTTATTTGAATGCACTCCAAAGGAGGGGTGGGCTAGGTTCAAGGTAGATAAGGGCAGGTTTATTTGATTAAACTCAAAGGGTGGAGGGGGCCAGAGTCAAGACAGACAAAGGCAGGTTTACTTGAATAAAGCAGAGAGGAAGAAAAAACAGAGGGAGGGGAGGGAAGCTCATTGAACTGCTGCTCAGCAGAAAGCATAATCTCTTGCCAACTCCTAAAGCCAGTGTCCCCTGGCGTCCAGTGTCTGCTTGAATCTGCACTGTGTGGGAGCTAAGCCCCTACCCCCCAAAGATTTGGGGGAGCCACTGAACACTGGATGGAGTGAGATTATGTTCTGAGAACTTCCCAGAGGCAACGAAGGAGATTTTCAGGCAGGCTACTAAGGAGCATTGCTCGTACATCTGCAGTCCCATCGAGGTCACCCAGGTGACAGGAACTTGCAAGTCAAAGTCAGAGCTCTCAGTAGCCCCTCCCTACTTATCTGAAGGAGGACAGAGAGAGTGACACACTCAGAGAAAGGCGAGTATGGGCAGCCCCAGAGAGGAGGTGCACCTAAGGGTTTGACGTCTGGGGTTTTATAGGGCTTTCTGGGTAAGGGTCAGCATAAGGCATGATGTATACAGGTGATTCATAATTCCTTTGATGTTTTTTTCTTAAGAATAGGGTTATTTAGGTGACTGTGTTGTTCCGGATCCTGGCATTCTTTGTCCACGTAGGTTTATTTATACTTCTGAGGTCTGTCTTCTGGTTACAAAGTTACTTGATTAAGGGGCTGGAGGAAGTGGAAAAAGCAGCATGTAGGTTAAGTTAAAGAATAAACTGGGCCTTTTTTGCACGCTAAGTAGATTTTACAAAGGCATGATCTAATTGATGCAATGAAGAGATGGGCTGTGCTGGGATACTTTTCTTTGTCTGGGGAATATCTGAACATTCTAAGTCACTCTTGGCCTTAGGAGTGTCACCTGATTAACTCATGAACTCTGTAAGCCCTTTCTGGCTCTCTGGTTTTATCTGGTTAACTCTCTGAGTCCCTTTTAGTGGGCTTTACTGGCCTTTCTCCCTCCACCCTCTCCTATCTATTTTTCCACCTAACACACCTATGGGAATGAATCAGTCACAGCTACATGAGCAGCTGAGGAAAAAGAGCCAGTCAGAGAAGAAAAATTTCTCTGTATTTCATTAACACAGGGTCAAACTATGCAAACCTCACAGAAGTAAGTGCCAAAACAAAGACAAGCATGTGTATGATTTATAAAGTTTGACATATTGGATATCTCCCAAGGAGAGACTGGGGAACGGGATTGGAGGAGGGTTTCCAGGTGGTTGGACTCTAAGAATCTGGTATTTTTCTTAAGCAAGATTCTAAGTACTATGACTGTTGATCTTATTAATTTTCAAACTCTATTTAAATGTGTTTAAAACATATTCCTTCTTATGTATTTCAGAATAAATTGTTAGCATTTTTCATAAGGGCCTTACCCTGAAGCTGACACAGTGGGAAGTAGTTCTGAATTGCGTTTGCCTGGAGGGGCCCTTGCACATCATGCCGGGGTGGCTGTCTGTGTGTCCTTGCTTGGGGAGGTGCTGGGGACTGCGGGGAGGGGTCTCATGGGATGCTGTGAAAGCCAGCCAGGGCACACTTTCAGCCAGACCATGATTGTGCAAAGAATGGTTGAGAACCAAGCCCCTAGGTGTCTGTCCTCTCAGTGGAGCATCTACCCTGCAGAGGCTCAGCTCCTTGCCCAGTGCCCCTCGCTCAGCTCCGCTTTGCCAGCCGGTCTCTCTCCTTCCAGCCGTTCCCGATGGAGCCCTGGACACGGCCATCCGTGCTGATGAGGCGGGGAGCGAGGAGGACCTGTACGAGGACGTGCATGGCTCCAGCCACCACTACAGCCACCCTGGAGGGGGCGGAGAGCAGCTGGCCATCAATGAGGTAGGGGCAGGGCTGAGGGGGTGAAGGGCAGGGCTGGGGTAGATGCTCATGCAGGCTGCGATGTCTGAGCAAATGACAGTGGCCCTGGCGTGCACTTAGCAGTTTCAGCCTGTGGCTCTCACTGTAGGATGTGCAGACCACCAGCAGAGCTTGTCCAGTGCAGGACCCTCCCCTCTGCCCTCAAGGGGCCTCCAGGGAACCCAGAATGGCAAGCACAATGCTCAGCACCTACAGTGTGAATGTGCTGATCAGCCCCTGAAAAGCCATCTGGGACAGAAGATGCTCTGCCTGGTAGAAGAGAGGCCAGGGCTTAGCACCCTGACCCTCCCACATGCTGTCTGGGCAGGACCCAGGGCAAGGCAAGTGAACCCCTCATACCTATTGGCTGCAGGAGCTCAAAAAGTATCACTGTTGTCAGGACAACCGTGTGCAAGATACTTTTTTGTTTTTGCTGTTCCTACCGAAAAAGAAGAAATCTGTAAGAAATCTAATCTGGGCAAAGCTGGTTCTCAGACCAAGTTCTTTTTATTCTCCAGGGAGAGAGACTTGAGACCTTGGCTCTCTTTTTCTCACTCCTATCCCTCCCTCTTCTTTCCCACGCGGTGCGGACAGTCTACGGCACACAGCGGTGGCTAGTGGGCACAGCCCTCCTCCGTGAGGCACCACGCTGTCCTGCACACCATGCACTGTGTATTTCACTAACCAGAACCTCACTGCCCGCCATCGTGCAGCACCCATGACACTCCTTTCTAGGAGGGGATCAATTTACCAGTGGCGGTGAACCTTTCTGTGCACGAATAGGCTGGCAGGCTTCTCAGAATCCCTTGAGGTGTGTGGGGGTCTTCCTTACCCGCTTGATCTGTCCGTGGTGGATGAACTCATCTTGCAGGCCCAGCTCTGAATAATGGTTTAAGAGAGTCATTAAATAATGCTTTATTCAAAATCAATGATGCATAAGGAATAAACATCCAATAAGTTGATTTTCCCAATAACTAAAGCCTTTCAAGGGTTTCTCATAAGCTATTTTGAGTGGAAGAAGATGTTCTAAAGTTATGTCATTGTGAGCAGAACTCCCAGGTATAGTTTGCGTTTCCCTGAAGACTCGGGCTGCCTTCCTCAGCCTTGGGCCACAGCACTGGTGGGATGCAGCATGGTGGAGTGGGGGGCCCTGGGCAGTGGGCCCCCAGGCCTGGCTGGGAGATCCTCCCTGCCAGCAACCAGGAGTGCAGCTCTGAGCAGGCAACCCTCTGCACCCTGGCTTGCACCCCTGTAAGTACTGGGTGGTAACCATGGTTACATGAGGACCGACTGAAATGGTGAGTGGAAATAACCTGGCACATGGTGGGTTCTCATTGAACCTGCAGTGACAAGGATGGTGCTGAAGAAGGAATTCCAACACCAAGATGGAGGGACTCTGAGAGGTGCTCGTGGTTGGCTGGCACCAGGGCCACGTCACTGAGCTCCGTGTCTGCTTTTAGAGTGTACGTCTGCCACCTGGCTGGAACCGTTGGTCCAGCACATCTTTTGCTGCTGGCAAGGAGGGCCCCCTTGACAAGTCGGTCCTTCTAAGATGCTCTGGACGAGGAACGCCATGGGCCAGGACTGCTCCAAATGAACAGGCTCTGGCAGAGGGCCCCCCTCGAGAGCAAGGAGGGTAACTTAGACTATGAATTGGGGAGCACAGATTTTGGTTGCTTGGAGAATTTGTTTCCTCTTTGGTTCAAAGGCCTTTCTTGTCTTTGAGGTTACCAGGCAGTGTGGCAATGTTGTGTCTGATGTCCGGAGCGCTCAGTTCTTCCCAGGGTACTTCTCTTCCAGGCCCTGCAGGGAATGACAGTCCGTCAGTGGGTCAGGTGGAGGGAACCCCTCCAATGGCACAAAAAGCCGCCGTAGGGCCCCGGACCTGCTTGGCATCTGCCAGGCTGCGCTCCCTCAGGAGACTGCCGGCCCCTCTGGCCCCCAATGCAGCAAGGCACAAGGGCCGGGGCCCTGGGTCTGACCCTCCTGCCACCACTACAGAAGGGCCTCTGGCAAACCAGTCCTTTTGGGGCCTCGGCTTCCTTGTGGGGTGGGTTTGGTCCCTGGACCCCCCTGGCAGCTGTAAGAGGGTCCCTGTGCCTGAGTGGATGGGGTACATGAGTGTACGGGGTAATGATTGGTCAGCAGCATCAAGTAGCCTCACTTCACCAGAAACCCTGAAGAGATATAAGGCAACTCCAGTGAGAGGCCAGTCCCCCTGGCCTTGGAGAGCAGGGGTGTCCCGCTGTGCACCGGCCGGCCCCTCAGCCACTCACTGTCGGCTTGCCTGCTTGGCCAGGGCTGCTGGGGTCAGCATGAGGTCCATACTTGGAAACTATAGAAGCAACAGATACCAGAGAAAAGACTGTACCAAATAATACTTGGCTTACGCTGAAATCACACCTTCACATACTTCTGTCTTTTCAAACCACGTGAGCATTGTGCCACTTTCTTGTTCATATTGACTTCCGAAGGAGAGACAACTTCTCAGTCTCCTAAGCAGAAGGGAGCCCAAACCTGTGGCCTCAAGAGGACTGGGCATGGGGAGAAGAGCAAAGCACTTTTCTAGCCTGGGCACACAGGGGTGATGGAGTGCCCAGGCGCGTGCACACGGAGGCAGTGGCTGTGGGGGGTACGCGTGCATGGTGCAGGCCCGTGAGCCTCTAATGTGTAAGTCCCAGGCCTGGGGTCCCACCGTGTAGAAGGGGCAGGGCTGTGTAGGGGGCAGGCACCCTCCCTGCTCCGGACGCCTGGATGGGCGGGGCGGGCCCCTTGCTTGCCTCCCCGTGCCTTGCTCCTCACGGCTGTCCCAGGACATGAGTTACCTGCCCTGCCCAGCAGTGTCCAGGGCCTCTCAGACCAGGCCTGGGCCTGTCCTCACCCTCCTCCACTCTCCCCAGGCCCCAGGCTCTGCGGATGCCCTGCTGGGCTGGGCTGTTGTCTCTTCCATCAGGCCTGAGGGACCCTCGGCCTTGGGAGGCTTCTCTGGAGAAGTTGAGGGCTGTAAGTAGGAATGTGTGTGGCAGACATTGCCTTTTCATTTCCACGCAGCTCCTGCCCCATCCCCGCAAGCTGTGTGTGGGGCCGGAGGGGAGGAGGGTACAGCTCCTGGCCCAGAGGCCCAGGGTCTCCTGACCGGGCTCTGGGGAAGCAGTGCCTCCCACAGGCCAGGCCAAACTGCACTAAAGCAGGCCGTGTGCGTGGAGCGGGCCTTCCCCTCGGCCTGCCATGCGCTGCGGGTCCTTGAGTGCGGTGGTGTGTCCAGGTCCCCAAAGCACTCTGTGCAGAGCCGCTCCGATGGCCCGGCTCCAGGAGGGCGGGGGGGCTGGGGCAGCTTCTGGATCACCCCGCTGAGGAGCGCTAAGCCCCAGCTGGAGAGAGAGACAGTCCTTGCCCTGCAACCTGGGCCTGGAACATGAAGGGTGCTGCCAGTCATTGGGCCAGCACCCGCCCCTGCCCCCTGGCCTGGGTCACTGAGGACAGAAGACAGCCTGCAGCGAGTTGCAGGACAACTAGAGGACACTGCAGGACATGAGGCCAGCTTGTGGCTGCCCCTCGGTGGAGTCAGTCTGACTTCCTCTCCTGGTGTCCCTGTCTCCCAGTGCCCATGAGCCCAGGCCTGGTATCTGACCCCAGGCCTGACCTGGCTCTAGTATGCCTTCCCTGGCCCCAGGGAGGAGGACAATACTGGTCAGGCCCCCCAGCACCCTGGGTGCCCCCTGCTGTTGGACGACAGCTGACTTAGGACTCCGGGAGGCGGGGCAACAGCAGCTTGCAGCCCAGAGGCCCGGTACCCGCTGTCTTCTGGCCAGCACACCCAGAGCCCTGGTGCTGGGGGCTCATCCGTCATCTGGTGGACACTTGTCCCCCCCACCTCTGTGTCAGTCCTGCCACCCCAGCAGGTCCGCAGACCCACCCACCCAGCTTTGGAGGTCCAGCGTGAACTTCTCTAGGGCCCAGGCCTTTGTTTTCAAGCTTTTTTGGCTTTGTTTTCAGTCATGAAACATGCAGGACACGCACAAAGGCTGTTGCCACTGTCTTCCTTGTGTGCACCCAGATTACAGGCCCCTAAAGGCTGGGTGCCCGGCCAGGCAGAGGCCATCTCTCAGTCCTGGGTCCTGGCCCAGGTCAGAGGCTCCTCTGCCACATTAAACCCTCCGCAGGCTGCTCAGCTGCATGGGGCAGAAGCCTTGTCCCAGGACGGCCATGGTGAAGCCCCCAGGGCAGCCCCCGGGGCCAGCACAGCAGGTGGTGCTGCTCAGCCCTGCACTGACCAGTGGGCTGGAACTGCCCTGTCCAGGTGCCAGAGGACACACAGGCTGCTGTGCCCTCCTTTGTGGGGCGACCGTCAGGAGCACAATGAAACGTCAGACTCAAAGTGAGGGGTTCTGAGCCACACCCTCCCAGAAGGCACACTGGACAGTCTTGCCAGAGGAGCACTGGGACTTGGGGTGACAGGGATGCCTTCTGTTCCCCCAAACCCCTCTGAGAATGTGAGGGACAAATCTTGAGCCTAGTTCTCTGAAGAACTGGGCAGGAACACAAAGTAGACTGTTTCTCCCGGCCGGACAGATGGGGCCAGGCTGAACCTTCAGATCTGGGTGGACAGGCAGCCTCTCTGGACATACTCCTGGGCCCTCTGCCACGGCCACAGGCACCTGCATGTGCACATATGCCCCACACCCACTGGGGCTGGAGCAGGCTGCTGCTCTCCGTCAGCACACTCATGCACGCTTGCTCACATGCACCGAGCAATAGTGTGCATGGACCCTGAACATGCAAAGTCCGGGCAGGTGAATACCAGCTACTGCACACGCCCTGGGGCTCCTCCTCCCCCTCAGCTGGAGCCTTCTGGCCCATCAGAGGGGCACGGTGATGGTGACAGGGCCCCCCGTTGTGGGTGGAATGAGAGATGTCTGCACATGAGATATGACTACAGAGGTAAGGTTGCATGCGCTGTCAGGGAGTCAGTGGAAAGCCCTAGGTGTACCAGAAACAGGGTTTTTAAAAAGCTGCTGACCACATGCAGAAAAATGAAATTGGATGCTTATCTCATACCATAGAAAAAAATAAACTCAAAATGGATTAAAGACTTAAATATAAAACCTGAGGCAATAAAACTACTAGAAGAAAAAGGGAAAAGGTTTTTGACATTGGTCTGGGCAATGATATTTTTGGATATGATGGAAAGCACAGGTAGAAAATGTAAAAATAACTGGGACTGCATCAAACTGCAAAGCTGCTGCGCAGCAAAGGAAACAACAGTGAGGAGGTAACCTGTGAAGTGGGCGAATATATTCGCAAATCTGATAAAGGGTCAGTATCCAAAACATATAAGAAACTCATACAACTCAGTAGCAAAATAATAATTTAAAAAATGGATAAAAGACCTGAGTAGACATTTCGCAAAAGAAGACATAGAAATGGCCAACAGGCACATGAAAGATGCTCAATGTTACTCACCCTCAGGGAAATGCAAGTCAAAACCACAGTGAGGTATCACCGCACAGCTGTTCGAATGACTGTTACCAGAAAGAAGTGTTGGCGAGGATGTGGAGAAAAGGGAGCACAGCCATTGTGGAAAACATTGTAGGGAGTTTCCTCAGAAAATTGAGAACAGCAATCCCATTTCTGGGGAGATATCCAAATGAAATGAAATCAGGGTCTCAAGGAGAAATCTGCACCCCTATGTTCATTGCAGCGTTATTCACAATAGCCAAGACATGGAAACACCTACCTGTCAGTCAACAGGTGAATGGATTAAAAAAATGGGCCATATATACAATGGAATATTATTCAGCCTTAAAGAAAAGGAAATACAGCCGTTTTCTACAACATGGATGGAGGTGGAGGACATGCTAAATGAAATAAGCAGACGCAGAAAGACAGACACCACATGACCTCAGTTATACGTGAAATCTAAAAGTCAAAATCCAGCAGCAGAGAAGAGAACGGTGGTTGCCAGGGGGCTGGGGGAGGCAGAAATGGGAATATTCAGCCTAAGGGTAAAAGTTTCAGTGATGCAAAATGAGTAAGTTCTATAGGTCAATGTACAGCATGGTGACTGTAGTTAACAATACTACTTTAGTGCATATTTGAAATTTGCTAAGTGGTTAGATCTTGAGTGTTGTCACCAGACACACGAAAAATGGTCACTGTGTGAGGAGGTGGACGTGGTGATAGAAAATGGTCGCTACATTAGGTGAGTTTGTGCTGATTACTTAATAATATAGGTGTACAGCAAAACATCGAGTTGTACACCTTAACTACGTACCATTTTATTTGTCAGGTACACCTCAGTGCTACTGGGCGGGGCGGTGGTTAGCAGCTCAGGAAGCCGGCTGCTTTCCCAAAGGAATGCGCTGACGGTCAGGGAGGAGGGTCGCGTGTCGGGGCCTCCCTGGAGCACCGCAGCCTGGATCAGGTCGCGGGGTGCCCGGCGCTCGAACCGCAGCCCGGCCCCCGCCTTCCTGCGCGACTCTGCTCTGGGCGAGCTCACCCACTCGGCCGAGCCGCCTTCGTTCACGCGGGACGCGGGGCCCAGGGCAGCGCTCGGGCAGAGACCAGGAGCCCGGCCCGCCCCCGTGGCCCCGGGGTGCGTGCGCCTGCGGGTTCCCGGCACCACGGGGGTGGCGGCGCGCGGCGGGCGCCCAGACAGCCGAGGGGTCGCTGAGGTGCGCGGCCCGCCCGCGGCGCCGGGGCGGAGCGCGGCCGGCGGCGGGGGGCGCGCACGTCGGGCGGTGCCGGGGCCCGGCTCCGCGCCCCGCAGGCGGCTCCGCCCCCCGCCCGCCCCCCGCCGCCCCGTGCCGCCCTACCGAGCGCGCCCGCTCCGCGGCCGGAGCCGGGCCGGGCCATGGCGAGGGCCCCGCAGCCGCGGCGCCGTCCCGCGCCCCCCGGGAGCGCCCTGCGCGCCGTCCTGCGCTGCAACCTGCCCCCAGGCGCCCAGCGCGTGGTGGTCTTCGCCGTGCTGGCGCTGCTCGTCCTCATCAACGTCGTGCTCATCTTCCTGCTGGCCTTCCGCTGAGTGCCAGCGCGCTCGGGTGAGTGGCCCGCGCCCGGCGCGCCGCGTCCTGCCCGCAGCCCCGCGCCCGGTCGGCGGCGCGTGCGTGCTGTGCCTCGGGCGTGGCGGCCGGTGCCGCGGGGGTCCCTGCGTCTGTCCCCCGCGCGGTATGTAACTAAAATGGCGCGTCTCGGATAGCTGAGGATGCGGACGCAGCTGTGCGCCGCTGTCTGTGGTTGTCGGAAGGGCGCATGTGACCGCAGGAGCGGACCTGGACACGCTTGTCAGTGTGGTTTGAGTGGGCTCTGCACATGTTACCTGCCGCTGTTTTCCCATTATAGGCTTAAGATAAGGGGTCTCAGCGTGTCCCCCACTACAGGCAGAGCCCCCTGAGCCCCTTGCAGGTGGGCATTCTGAACACCCCTGCCCACGGGCTGTGAGGATGCCAGAGCCCAGCCACCCTCCTCCCCAGACTGTCGGATGGAATAGTCCACCACCTTGCACGTGCGAGAGATGAGGGAGGGTGCTGGGTGGCCATCAGGGGCACCTCACGGCAGAGCCTGGCTTCCCCAGACCTGTCCAAATCTCAGCGGTACAGGAGGGGATATTGCCCCCTGCCGCTGGCTTGTCTACTTGCCCCTCCACTGGGACAGCCCCCACATAAACACCCCATGCCTCAGAGCGAGCCACTATCCCCGACTGCCAGGCCAGGACAGACTTGGACGGTTGGCCTGCTGGTCTGGAGGCTTGGCTTCTGTGCAGCAGCTCCCCAGAGCACCAGGGGGGGCCCTTGCCCAGAAACCCACCCACTGTGGCCCTGGTGGCCTCTGGGCTGTCCTGGAGGTAGAGTGACCTCCTGGAGTTACCTTTTGTCTTGGTGACAGCACATAAATGGTCAGTGTCATTTCTGTCATTCATCACAGTACCTCCCATCTGCGGATCCACACAGATGTGCGGATTGGTTCTCTGGGCATCAGTGGGAGGGGGTTGCTCATGGCTGTGTGCCTGTCAGGTGTCTCCTGTACCTGAGAAGATACTGGGACAAGGAAGTGACGAAAACAACGAACCCCTCCCCCACCACCAAGGGCTTCTGGGACACTGGGCAGGTATGGGATTGCCCATGCAGGGGTCAGGAACCCTGGTCTCTGGGAAGCCTTTTCTCTTTGCCCCGCACACAGAGCCCTTCCCCAGGCAGCTATGGGAAACCAGGTTTTTGAAAGGGCTGGCAGAATAAGGCAGCAGAAGTGTTCCCTTTCCCATGGGGCTTACAAGAGGGGCTCTGCGGAAACTGGGGGTTGGGGAGATGCCCAACCTGGTTAATACCATGTGGGAACAACTGGGAAGGGAGCTCCTGGGCAGCCAAGCTGTGAGGGGTGTGTCTCCATGGCTTCCTCCCTCCCTGGGCTCAGCAGTGAGGGCAGCCTGCACGCTGGCCTGGACACCCGTATGTGTGGCAGGTACACCTGAGGATGGGTAGCATTCCCAGCAATCTAGCATATTGTTCTTGGGAGAGCCAAATGTGGCATCACCCAGCATGTGAGTGTGTGCGGGCAGGTGACTGTTGGCAGGGGTGCAGCAAGAGGGAGGCTTGCAACACCCACTTCTCCAGGATCAAAACTACAGCTTAAGCAAGAAGTCCTGTTCCCTGATGGATCCACATGTCATTTTGCCTAAGCAACTCCAAGAGTGAACCCTTCCATTGTCTCAGTAACTCATCACTCAAAACAGTCTTTGTGGTCAGTCACACACCTTCATCCAACCTGGTGCACACAATCGCTGGAGGTCCCACATGCGCTCTGCCCTGATGCTCACACTCACCCATGGTCACCTCTGCCCTCTGTCCTTATGGGGACAGTCACTTGTGGTCACACACACTCCTCACACAGCCTCGCTGCATCCTTTTGTCTCATTTCATCTGTGTTTCAGTCCAGAGTGCTCCATCCTGGGGGCCAGGCCTCCCTGCAGAAGAGGATGTGCCTGTAGTAGGTCCTTTTAGCAGGTGTGAGTGCAGTGGCCCCTTGAGGAGACAGGCGGCCCCCCAGTGCTCATGTCCAGGTGGGTCTCAGGAATCTACAGCCCCTGATCAGCTGCTGGGTATAAGAGTAGGTTTGCACATGGGCTGTGGATTATTTGGGGAGAGCTTTCATGAGAGTTTGGGGGAGGTTTCACCCCAGAAACCATGAACAATTGTTGGTTTCTGAACACGCTTGCTCAGGCACTACCCTGGAGGAAAGGCCCAGCCTGAATGGGCTCTGGTGCCCGGGTAGCCTGGCCCACCCCTCCCCTGCCCATTCTGGGCATGGCAGAGGCCTCTTGGGCAGCGCGTGGAACTTGCTCAGGTGGAGACCCAGCCAGTCGTCTGCTGTGGCCTAACTCTGGTTCCCATTTCCTAGCACACTGCCCTGCAAACACCCAGGGAAGGTCCCAGTGAGCCTGAAGTCAAGGGAGGACTCATACCTGTGAGCAGCTTGGATGAGGAAACAGAGCAGAGGGCCTTTCTGGTGATACTCCAGAGCCTGAACTGCTTGGCCAAAGGGTCAGCCTGTGGCTGTGCCTGAGAGCGACACTTGGTCCCAGCGGAGGGGCTTGGACCTCACCTCCTGTGCAGCCCACCCCTCCTCCTGAGCTAAATCCCCAGAGCAGTTCATGATTCAGGCAACAGAAACTGAGCCCATGTTACAGGAACATGATGTCAGCCCCACGGGCAGCGGAACGCTGAGCATGAGGGCTACCTGGGGGAGGGGGGCAGTTCCCTGCATCCTCCCTGATGGAAGTCCGCGACCACGTGGGCAGAAAGAACCTCGCCAATTCTTTCAGCAGAGACATGCTAATACAAAGATTTGTTAGCCAGGTATAAAGTGGTTGGCTCAGTAGCTAGGTGCACAGGAACAGCTGGGAGGTGTCTATTCCCAAGGTAGCCTACAGCCGTAGGATGTACCTTCCTCCCTAGAGCTGGGGAATAAAGTCAAGCAGATGGAATGATTAAAACTGAGAACCCTGGGGGCTTGGGACCTAGGACTGTGAGGATGGGTGCAGCTCAGCTGGTGCTGGGGTCGGGGCATGAAACTGGCTCTGCAGGTGTTCAAAGGCCACAGAAGCCCTGACCCCGCTTCTGCCGGGGCTGGGCCTGCGCACCCAGGCCAGTGGCGCTGTTCTTTTCAGGGCCTCACAGGTACTGCAAATCTACAAGCCTGCAGGCAGGAGCAAACCCCCTCTTCCTCTGCTCTCTGGTCCCCCCCGAGGTCACACCAGGGGAGCCTCACAAGGAGCTGCTGTCATGGTGCAAATGCAGCTCATGGTGCAGCCAAGCAGAAATGAAGGGGGAGGCCGGGAGGCCACTGTGTAATCACTGGCTGGTGGGGATGGGAGGTGGTGGGCCTTGTGCAGGGGAATGAGCCGCATGCCCACCCCACAGATTCTGTGGCTCAGCAGGATTCCAGCGGTCTCATCCACTTCAGGCCTCATCATGAGCCCTGCCCGTCTAGACATAACCAGGGCTGCTGAGGGGTGGGGGCAGAGGGCAGGAGCACCCTGCCCCTGAGCTGGTGGTCCCTGCAGCCTTACCCCACTGACCTGCCTCTCTCTGACTCTCTCCGCAGCTCATCAGTGATGGCAGTGTGGTCTGTGCTGAAGCACTCTGGGACCATGTCACCATGGATGACCAGGAACTGGGCTTCAAAGCTGGGGACGTCATCGAAGTAATGGATGCCACCAACAGAGAGTGGTGGTGGGGCCGTGTCACCGACAGCGAGGGGTGGTTTCCAGCCAGCTTTGTGCGGGTACGGTGCTGAGCTTTGCCAAGGCCTGTTAAGCAGCCAGCTGGCTCTGCTCGGAAGTGTCAGCCTGGAGCTCTCCAGGGTCTGTGGGGCTGAGCTGGGGCCACAGGCTGAGGGCTGCCTGGGTGGGTGTCAGGAAAGCCAGCCCAGGGAGTTGTGACACAGCCTTCTTCCTCTTGCAGAGCCACCAACTGCAAGCCCTGCTCCCATTCCTCCCTCGGGGGGGCCCATGGTGGCCAGAGAGGAATGGGTCAGAAGTGATGGGTGTGGATTCCTCCCCGGGGAATCTGTGTGCTAGCTCGCATCCACCGCAGGCAGCTGGCTCCCTGAGTCTTTACCAACCTCTGGGAGCAGCTGCAGGGGCTGGGGCCGGGGCGGCTAACACTCCCACCTGCGGACACAAGTGCAAACAGGTTGTCTAGCCTGAGAAATCACAGGGAGGGGACCCAGATGCTACCTCTGGTGGCCTTTGGTTTCCAAGAAGGGGATCCAGGCGAAGTCTGCAAAAGGCTGGGTAAAGAGTGAGCCCAAGTCCTGGGGTTCATTGATTTTCCTGCCGCAGCCCCCCTTACAGATGGGCTCCTCTGTGCCCCAAGCAGTCCCTAGTCACGGAGGGAGCCGGCAAGGCCAGGCCACCGCCGGCTCCCGCGTGGCCTGTGGAGTGGCCACTATGGGCAGGCGCTGCGCTCACGGCGCCCCGTGCACGCAGAGCTAAGCGGGAGGAGGGGGGCGGCGCGGGGCGCTGACGCCACGTCGCCTGCAGCTGCGGGTGAACCAAGACGAGCCCGCGGACGACGAGGCGCTGCGGCCGGGGGACGGCCGGGGCGAGGACAGCGGGAGCGAGGCGCAGAGCGGCAAGAACCAGATGCGCACCAACGTCATCAACGAGATCCTCAGCACCGAGAGGGACTACATCAAGCACCTGAGCGACATCTGCGAGGTGAGGCCCGGCGGCGGGGGCGCGGGCGGGGGCGCGGGCGCGGGCGGAGGGAGAGCTGACGCCTGGTCCCCAGGGCTACATCAGGCAGTGCCGCAAGCGCGCCGACATGTTCAGCGAGGAGCAGCTGAGGACCATCTTCGGGAACATCGAGGACATCTACCGGTGCCAGAAGGCGTTCGTGCAGGCCCTGGAGCAGAGGTTCAACAGGGCGCGTCCCCACCTCAGCGAGCTGGGCGCCTGCTTCCTGGAGCACGTGAGCGCGCCCCCCGCCCCCGGCGCTGCGGCCCGGGCCCCGCCTCCCGAGCCCTCCCTGCCCCGCAGCCCACGGGGCGGCTCTGCCGCTGGGTCCGTGCCCTCCTCTCCCACCACACCTGCCCCCCGGCCTCCCCGCATTTTAGCCTTCCTTGGCCCCCACACCTCTGGATGTTGGCCCCGGAGGCTGGAGCCCAGGCCACCCACTACTCTACTCTGCCTAGAAACTTCAGACCCCATGCCCTGCCCAGTGTCCCCACCATTGAACACGGATTTAGAGGTGTCTGCTTCTGTGGGGGACAAACCAAGGCAGAGAAGGTGCCTTGAAGGCCATCGCCCTTGAAGGATTTGCTTGGGTCAGAGTAGAGGGCCGAGGGGAGCTGGGTAGGCTGCTGGTTGGACACCTAGGGGCTGTTCTGGGGCTCAGCACACAGAGCGGACTGACTTCCATGGACTGTACAGCGCCCATTTCCACTGAGTGTCGGCTGGCATTTAGCTAAGGTTCCCTGGCCTGATCTGGGCCGGATGGGGCCCTGGCCTGACAGGGAAGGCACTTGCTCATCCCTCTCCTGTGGCAGTCATGAGGGGCTGACAGGGATGCCCAGCCCTGCCAATAATGGACAGTGTGGGTTCCTGCCTGGCTCCCACCAGCTGGGTTCGGGGGGGCCTGCCACCTTAGTGGCAGAGGAAAACTGGGAGGGGGACCTTGGGCTGTCCCCAAGCAGGAGTGGGGAGGGGCTTGGGCACCTGAGTGAGTGTGGCATCTGGGTCCAGTGATTCAGCAGGCAGTTGTGACAGGGAACAGGAAATGGGGCAGGCCCGGGAACCCAGACTTTGTCAGCTTTAGTGTGACCACCACAGCAACCTGCCCAGCGTGGCTCTTACCTGCCTTTCACACCAAAGTCCCTGACATCCTGAGGCACCAAGTGGCAGGCTGGTCTCGGCTCCAGGCAGAGGAGACTTTACAAACAGAGGCACAGTGAGTCTCATGCATGACACCCACACAGTGGGGAGATACATGCCCCACTGTGTTGACAGATGACAGTGGCTGTCCCTCAGGTGTGGGGCTGGAATGTGATGAGGAAGCAGACAGTGGGCTGGTAGTAACCCGAGAGGCGCCACCCCAGACCCTGACATCCACTTACTCTCTCAGTACCTACTTCCCTTTCCCTTTCCCCACCCCTTCTCTCTCTCACACATATTTTTGGCCTTGATAGCTCTTCCTTATTAGCATCACTGATTTCATCCCCCAACGGGCCTGTGATCGGGACACCTGCTGCGGGCCCTGCTGAGGCAGCCGGCGGTAGCAGGGGCACGCGCGGGCCCAGGTGCTCAGGGCTCTTGTGCCCAGTGCAGCAAGTAGGCAGGGCCGGGACCCCCGACGCCGGGACCCCCGAGGCCGACCCCCAGAGGACATGGCGGTCCGCTCCCTTCCCAGCCGGGTGGGTGCCTGGGGAGCAGAAGGCAACAGCCTGACCTCCAGCTGTGCCCCCAGCAAGCTGGCTTCCAGATCTACTCCGAGTACTGCAACAACCATCCCAGCGCCTGCGTGGAGCTCTCGCGGCTCACCAAGCTCAGCAAGTATGTGTACTTCTTTGAGGCCTGCCGGCTGCTACAGAAGATGATCGACATCTCCCTGGATGGCTTCCTGCTGACCCCTGTGCAGAAGATCTGCAAGTACCCTCTGCAGCTGGCCGAGCTGCTTAAGTACACGCACCCCCAGCACAGGTAGGCCGGCAGTGGGAGGCTCTTCAGAGGGAAAGGTCCCTGCCCACAGAACAGTCCCATAAACGAGGGAGGAGAACATTAATGGGGCAGGGGCACAGCCCAGAGGAAGCAGTTCTGCGGGGCCCTGGGGCCTTAGCCCGGCTCTGCTTTCCATCTCTCAAGCCCTCTTCCATCTGTTTTGCCCAGAGATTTCAAGGATGTGGAAGCTGCCTTACATGCCATGAAGAACGTGGCCCAGCTCATCAATGAACGGAAACGGAGACTCGAAAACATCGACAAGATTGCTCAGTGGCAGAGCTCCATAGAGGACTGGGAGGTGAGGGCCTGAAACCCCAGGAAATACTGCAGGGTGCGGCCCCTTCCTTTAAATCACACTGCCCCTGAAAATCGAGGGAGGGAGCTGAAGCAGAGAGCCATGCTCCCGGGAGCTAGCAGATGGCATCTGGCGGCAGGAAAGCTGGGCCCCTCCTTGCCTACCCACGGCGCCGGGCTGCAGGCCTGTGGTACTGCCTCCCAGAGCAGGCCCCCTGCCTCACTCCTGGTGAAGAGTTGAGGGCTCATGGAAAATCCGATGCTCCTTCCAAGGTGCAGCCAGCTGGCCAGCAAGAGGGACCACCCTTGGGACAGGCCAGATCCCAGGTTTAACCACTGGGACTCCCAGCAGAAGGGTCAGGCCTGCCGCAGAGCAGCCAGAACTGGATGCCCACTGGGCAGAGCTCCCTGGTTCTGATCTTCAGGCTTGTATGTCCCCCGTGTACCCACCAGCCTTGTCTTCTAACGTTGAATGGAGGCTTGGACGAAGGGTGACATTCCTGTCCTGTTTTCTCCACCTCCACACACCTGGGTGTGGGGCTGAGCAATGGGCCTTTTGTCTGGTTTTGGGGGTTGTTTTTTATTTTCCTGATGCTTGGTTCTGAGGCTCAGCCCTGGTCAAGGAGCCTACAAACTCGCTTGGATCAAACTGAATGGCTGCTACCAATTCCAGGAGGAACCACAGCAGGCAGGGCTCAGTCTGCAAGTTTGAGGGCCAGTAATGAGACTTGAGGTGCACTGAGCTGGAAAGAGGACTTCCTTTGCCCCTAAAAGATCTGCCTCAGGGGAACTTGCAGCCAGGCCTCAGTATTCTGGGCAGCACCAGCCAGTCCAAGTATCATGTGAGCCACAGAGGGAGTCTTAAATGTCCTAGTAGCCGTCTGAAAAAAGAAAAAGGAACAGGTAAACCTAACAATGTTTTCCTTAACTTGGTATATCTAAAATATTTCCACATGTAATCAATGTGAAATACCACTGGTTTATATTAAGTCTTCAAAATCTGTGTGTGTATCGCTTACATGACATCGTGTCTGGCCGCTTACATGACGAGACTGGTCGTATGTCAGGTTCTCACACCACTGGCCGCCATGGGTCCTGCTTTGCAGGGACAGTCAGCTCAGATCAAACCACCTTTGACTCCCCCACTGGCCCCTGCCCCCACCGCTTCCCCGGGGCTGCAAGAGCCGCACCTCCTTCCTGGCCTGCTGTGGCTGTAGACCCCAGCCCTGGGGGCAGCAGGCAGCAGGGCCGGTAGGGAGTCCCCCAGTGGAAGCAGGACAGGGCCCAGCAGAGGGGGCTCCCTCCAAGCCCCAGGTGGGGTGCACTCTGCTCATGTCCTCCTTGGGGCCTCCCAGGGGGAAGATCTCCTGGCCAGAAGCTCAGAACTCATCTACTCGGGGGAGCTGACTCGAGTTACACAGCCACAAGCCAAGAGCCAGCAGAGGATGTTCTTTCTCTTTGACCACCAGCTCATCTACTGTAAGAAGGTACTGGAGTTGCTCTGCCCTGCTGGGTGGGCCCTTTGGAGCAGGTGGGGGGAGTGAAGCTGAGGGCTGGGGGCAGCTGCCTGGGGAAAAGGAGCTGCACAGAGGTGATTCTTCTTTCCTGCCCCTGTCCCCAATAACTCCCGGAACTCAGGCCCCTCCTGGGTCAGGCCCTTAGGGCTGGGATACGGCGCTCTGCAGTGAGCCCGGTAGCCTGGGGTCACGGGCTGGCCCTCAGCCTGACCAGGGCCCAGTGCTGTTGGTAACACCCCCTCCCTAGCCTACTCCCTGCCTGCTTCTCACGCCACCACTTCTCCCCCCAGAACCCAGCTTCCTCTCCCAACCCCGCAGTCCTCTGTGCCAGCTTTCAAACAAGGCCCAAGTGGCCTTGTCTAGGAAGCCCTCCTAAACCCTGGCCTCCTGGCCCCAGTAGACCTGGTGCTCTTTTCTGCCATATAGTATGGGGCCTGGCCCCATTCCCATGGCTGCCTCCCCATGGGACTATGGGTGTCTTCGAGAACCCCCTTGCCAGTCAGTAGTGACGTAACTGAAGGAGCCAGCCCCCTGCCTTGGGTTCAGTGCCATCCTGGGCTGCCCCAGGCTCACAGCCCTCAGGAACTCATGGCTGCTGGGAGTGGGTATGCAGCCTACTGGCCTTCTGGTTACAGGGCAAAGGTGAGGCGGGGCCCCGGACATGGTCAGGAGAGTGGTCAGAGGCCAGGGAGGAGCCCAATGAGCAGGCTGGGCCAGCTGCTCACAGTGTCTGTGGCAGGACCTTCTCCGTCGGGACGTGCTGTCCTATAAGGGCCGAGTGGACATGGACGGACTGGAGGTGGTGGATCTGGAGGACGGGAAGGACAGAGACCTCCACGTGAACGTCAAGAACGCCTTCCGGTTGCACTGCGGCACCCCGGGCGAGAGCCACCTGTTGTGCGCCAGGAAGCCGGAGCAGAAGCAGCGCTGGCTCAAGGCCTTCAGCAGGGAGAGGGAGCAGGTGCGGCTGGACCAGGACACAGGTGCGCCTCAGCCGTGCTCTGTGAGGCCAGGCCGCCCTCCTGTTATATGAGTGATGGGCAGGATAAGCCTAAAACTGTGTCACTGCCGAGCGCCTTGGGCTCTGGTGTCGGCTCAAGGGCTGGGTCGGCTGCTTGGCCTGAGGGCCTTGCTCCTACCACACAGCATGCACTTGTGCGTACACACACACACACACGCCTCCTTGCTCCACACACACACACACGGGCCTCCTTGCTCCTACCGCGCGCGCGCACACACATGGTGGGGCCTCTCAGCTTCAGGGACCTGAGGGAGCCCCTTTCCAGTACCAGCCCTGGGAGAGCGTGGGAGGGAGGCAGTGCAGACCTCCAGAAGCCCCCTCTCACCCTCTGTGAACAGGGCAGCTTCCCACTGCATGGGTCCCTGTTCCTGGGCCTCGGGCCTCGCACTCGGCAGTGACCCGGTGGGCACTCGGTCTGGAAAAGCATCTCCCACTACAGTAGAGGGAAACAGGGCAGAACCAGGGAGGGTGCGAGGCCCCTGGGGGGCACCAGCGCATCCCCTCTGCCTGGCTGGCCAAGGCAGGCTGGCTGAGCCCGAGGCTGCGTCCCTGTGGCAGGATGGGACCCTGAGCACCTGGGGCCTGTGGGAGGCGCAGGGCCCAGAGGACGGCACCAGGGTGGAAGCACAGCACGGGAGCATGTGAGCAGGTAGGGGAGGTGAAGGGCAGCCAAGGCCTGGCAGGGAAGTGGGGTCTCACTGTGCCCCTCCTTCCCAGGCTTCTCCATCACAGAGCTGCAGAGGAAGCAGGCCATGCTGAATGCCTGCAAGCAGCAGGCCGCTGGAAAGCCCAGAGGTAAGCGGGTAGCAGCCCCACCTCCGCCCACGGCCTGGCCCTAACCGGGGCCACACCCTTCCCGGCTCCCGGAGCACAGCCAGCTATGCTAGCTCCTGGGCCCTCCTCTGCAGGTGTTTGTTCCCGAAGGTGGGTGATGTGGGGCCACCAGGACAAAGCTTGCCCCCGTTTGCAGGTGGTGGCTGTTCCTGCTGCCCCTTTCCCCCGGCCCCCTCTTTGGTGCTGGTGCTCATGTCCCCAGGCAGAGCTGTTTTCTGGCAGGCATCTTCCCGACCCCCGGGCAAGACGCCAGTATCCCCATTTCTACAGAGCCGTTCAATGCCTTGCACAGGGCCTGGGCTACAGGAAGCTCCAGGGCCCCACACCTTCCCGGGCTGCAGACCATGTCCTCTGCAGGGTACAGGAGCGTGGCCCCGGCTCCTGGGTGTGGCCCCCCCGGGGGGGTCTGAGGCAGGGCCCTGAAGGTGCTCCCGTACCAGCCCCACAGCCCTGTGCACCCGGCCCACGGGCACCTCTCACCCTGCCGTCTCCCCTGCCTAGCCCTGGGCCGGCCGTACTACCTGATGCGCCAGAAGCACCCAGGCCTGCCTGCCTGCCTGCCCCAGCAACAGGTCCTGGTGCTGGCCGAGCCCAAGCGGAAGCCGTCCACGTTTTGGCACAGCATTAGCCGGCTGGCACCCTTCCGCAAGTGAGCTGGCGCCCTGCCGGCAGCACTATCTGCATCTGCCCACGAGCGGGCCCCCAGCTTCTCCCGGAGGCCCCGCATCTGGCCCTCTGCCTGCAAGTGAGCAGGGCTGAGCAAGGGAGTCGCTCGGTGCCACTGGCATGCACCAGGTTCTGGGCCCCCGTTCTTGGTTTCTTCTCCACTGTGGATCCATGGAAGACACCAGATGGAGAGATGCGGCCCCACAGCACATGCACCCCCACCACCCTCTGGACTTTTGTGGAGCCTCCTGGGAGCCAGAGCTCAGAACTACTGACCAGGCCCATGTGCTTGAGAAGACTGGTGGCTTCGGACCCCCTTTGGACAACTAATCATCCCCCCTCCTGTTCTCTCTGGGCAGGAGACCACTGCTGCCTTCGGCTGCCCACAGAGCTGGGCTGTGTGCCCTTCTGCCCTCACTCTCCTTGCAGGCCCCCAGCTGGCGGTGCCAGGCAGCTTGCATCCCTGGAGGGTGGTAAGCAGGAATTCCATGCACAAAAACGTCTGGCCCAGAGCCCACCAGTTTTGCTTCCCATCCCCTCTAGACACTCCTGGCTGCTAGATCCCTCTTCACTTGTTTGTTTATAGTGGAAGGAAAACAAAACTGCAGGCAGCTGCATACTTCTGTCAGGGTTTGTGACCCGTCCATGGGTAGCTGTGAGTTCCCTCCAGAACCTGGTTGGTTGTTTTTGCTTGGATTTTGTTTTACTAACAGTGGGGAAAAAGAATTGTCAGTGACGCAGAAAGACCGCCTTATCCTAAGTGAGTGTGAGAAGCCATGGGTCTGGATTCTGCAGCCCAGCGTCGGGCTGACGGCGCAGCCAGGGGCCCGTTGGCACGTGGGCTGGAAGAAGGCCCACGCCCGCTGAGGAGGGGCGCCCGTGGGTGCACAGCTCGAACTGCCCCTGGCTTGTGGGAATTCAGCAGCATGTACACTCACTCTTGCACTATACCTTCTCCAAGCCAGAAGCCGCATTTAATTTCATAAAGAAACGTGTAAAAACCACCTGGCTGCCAGCCTTGCTTTCTGTTGGTGTTTGTGTGTTTTCTCCTCTGTACATCCCCATCTTCTTCCGCTGGCTAACTGCCCCCGGCTTCTCCTTCAACAGGTTGGAGGAGCTCAGCAGCACTCAGAGGTGGGGCGGGGGCTCACCTAGTTGCAGAGCAGGCCCCCAGCGCTGTGGTGGAAAGGCTGAGATCCAGCTCAGCGCTCCAGAGGCTCGGGCTCCAGGGAGCTGCCCAGACGCAGGACAGAGCTGGCCTGGCCCCTCTCACCCAGGGCCTGGAAGCCTGCTCCCACCCCGGCCTTTGCCTGCCTCAACTGCTCCCAGTCTGTGTTTGGCTGTAGTTAGCAAGTGTGAGTGTAGGGAACAGGCAGTAGTCTTTCTGAGTCTCAGCACCCGCCTCTGGAATGGGGAAGAATGCCTTCCCAGAGGACATGGGCCGCCTCCCTCCCGTCCTCCCACCTGGGGGAACACTCGCCAGCCTGCTGCCTCTACTCACACTCCCAGGGTTACTGGAGCTGAGCACTACAGGGCCTCTGGCCAGACCCTTGCATTTCCCAACTTGTGAGAAGCTACACTACCTCTCAGCTAAGCCCACCCCAAGACAAAACCTACTGGAAAAAATCATGAAAATCACAGTATGCAACACAAGTCAATCTTTATTGAAAACTGCAGTATTAATACATAACAATTCTTGTTACAATAAACGTGCTTTTAAGAATTTTAAATCTGAGTTCATCTACTCTTCAGATTGCATAAAAAATTAAAAGAGTATGAATTTACACGTAATGGAACTGGCTCAGGATGGATGTTCTGTTCCTTTGTATTGACTGACACCGTAAGTTCAACGCAGAGGTGAGGGGTGCCCTTGAACACTGGAAGACAATGCTGATTTAAGCTTAAAAAAAAGTACCAAGAGAATGGTCTAAAAAAAGTATTTAAAAATCATTGTTTTAAAAAAAGGAACCATTTTTCCAGTGGGTTACAACCCATGTGGCTCCTCGCGGCCTCTTCCCAGTGGCTGTCACAGCCTCCCTGTTAGGGGCACAGGAGGGATGGCCTCAGATCCAGTTCCGCTGGGCTGCTGACCACTAGTGTGCGCAGGGACCCGTGGGGACCCCACGGGGCACAGGAAGCAGAGACAAGATGCTCACCCTCAGTGACAGTGCCAGCCTCCGTCTCCCTGTTCCAAGTGACTCAGTGGAAGTCAGGGGGACTCAAATAAGATGACCCCATAGGTTTTCTGTCCTTCAAATGAATAGGAGTGGGGAAAGAGAACCCATCCTCTGAAACGTGTTAACATCAACTTTGCAATTTCCTACTAGAAAGGTCAGGCCACCTCAGTCTGCAGCGTGCCACCTGAGAGTCCTCTCAGGTGGTGGTCCCTTCAGGAAGCTCAAGCTCGTTAACAAAGCTCAGGAAAACCACACTAACACTTGAGATGTGCTGGACAGACCTAAAGCCACCTGCCCTTCCCTGAAGTCACACACGCTCCTCTTTAGAGACACCCTCTCTTTAGGAAGCCCAGAGAGAAGAACCAAAAGCTGCCCCCCTACAAGCTGTTCACCCTCAAACCTGCCCTTGCACCTGCTGGGGGCAGGCGGGTAGGCAGGGCCCAGGCTGGCAGTGACTGGGGCGTCCAGCTGTTAAGTGCCAGATGGGGAGAAGATGGCCCAACTGGTCACAGTAATACTGTTTCCAAATGTTTACAAAGGACAGGTGAAGTCTGGAGCGCCTCCTAAGTCAGCCCCAATGCCAAATGCCGATGCGGCCGCACTGGCTGGCACACGCCCTCCTTCCACCACCTTACCAGCAGGCACACTCCTGGAGGCCCACGGGGGGCCGACACAGCCAGCTACCAGCATATCCTGGTGCCTCACGCACAGACTTCCTCCCGTGACTGAGGATGCCACCAGATGGAGCAGGGCCCCACGCGCCCAGCTTGGGAAGGGCAGGGTGCTTGCTGACCAGGTGCCCGGGCCAAGGCTCGCCTCCCTCGTCTCCTGTGAACAATCCATTTGCATATCACTCAGGAAACAGCTTCACAGAACAGCAGCTGGTCAGCCTAGGAACCACGTCAACAATAATGTTCTGAAAGGACTGAACACAAGGCATAAAAGGTTCTGGATGCGCCGCCGTGCCTATTACCTCAAAATGCTCTGAAGGTGGCCTCATTCGTGAGAGGCAGCGAGCTCACGGGGCCACCACTCGGTGCTAGGCACTCAGTCCCCCAGCCCAGATCCAAACCGAATGTCCACGAGCAGAGGAACAGCCACCCAAACCTCGGGAGAGTAGCTGAAGAACACAGATCCATATACACATCCTCGATGAAGTCCACGTTTACAGGAATTAGGTCCTTTGCTTGCCTGTCTCAACTTCCAAAAGAACCATAGTTCAGTCATAGTGAGACTCTCAAATCAGGAATGTCACATATAAAAAAAGCAAAACGTCTTTCAATAGTCCACTATTGTGCTTGGGTATCAAATTACACAACTTGTAACAGATTTTCTATTCCTTAATTAAATTTTACTGCAACTAAATGCTGCTAAAATTGCGACCTGTGATAATTTCACTACTCACATGCCCAGAAGTCTCACCTGTGGGACAAGACCTACCTTTTATTACTGTATTTGGTAGCTGATGCCCTAATGGCTTCAGACCTGCAAAGACCTCCACACGGATGTATTCCATATGCAAAAGTGTCTAACAGCTCCTACTCAACTTCACAAAAAGGAACAAGGATTTTACAACCTTACAGGGGGAAAGTGTTAATGAGGCTGATGTAAATGGGGGAAAGGGAACCCACTCTTCTCTCTTTGAAACACCATCTGATTTAGTGCTTGTGAAAACACTCACACCATGTGTGCCAAGCCTTCAAGCAAGCCTGAGGGAACATCCTACATAACTACCTACCTCTGCCTCCTGAATTCAGTGATGCCACCCCTTCCAGCTGGTCGTGTGTGTGTGTCTGTGCGTGTGTTCCCATTTCGTTGTTTATTCAAAGCACACACTAAAATCCTACTTTCCCCTAAACTAACCACACTAAGCTGGGGCCTCTGTGACTTGGTCAGCTCGTCCCAGGAGCCCTTCGAACCCAGTCAGTACTACAGACCACGCACTACACAGACAGGGTCACCAACACAGAGTGAGAAGCGGATGCAGCCCGTGTGCCGGGGTAAATGGCAGCTCCCCACATGCACACACGCATGAAGCCATTTAAAGGACTTATCAGTAGGCACACTACATTAACAGACTTTAGGAGTAAGGAGCCTTCTGCTTACAATGATCCATGCAAAAATATTCCTAAACTTCTTATAAAATAAAGTGTGAAGAAGAAAATTATGAAGAGTACTCACTATAAAAAATAAGGTTACCAAAGGCTCAGGGGTCAGCTGTCTGCTCATCAACCAGCGTGGAATGCCGAGCCAGCACCAGAGCCCTACCTAGCTGCCAGAGACGCAAGAGCAGGGTCCTCTCCCAGCCAAAGCCCATGCCACTTGGAACACCAACGGGGCGGGTCCCCTGCCTGACAGACTGTGCAAAGGGCATAAAGCCTTTCCATGCCCCCCTACTACCCCCTGACTCCGAGAACAGACACACATTCCCATTGATACAAGTTGGGCATATTCAGCCAAAGAAGTCCTCTTGATTTCTTATGTACAATACTCAGATTTCAAACACAAAATCCTTTCCATTATAACTGCTGGCAGGCAAACGCATTCTGACGCTGCCTGGCCATTTGCTGTCCAGGCCTTTGTGCTGGTGCCCGCAGCTGCAAGAAGAGATGGCCGGACCACTCACAGCCACAGGCCCCAGCCCTTCCCTCACGCCTCACTCCTCGAGGAGTCCCCCAAGACAGTCTCTGAGGACAGGTCCCCACCAGGGAGGTGGGCCCAAAGAGCCACCGCCTGGCCTCTCCACAAGAAACAATTTGAAATAGTTTTGTTCCCTTTTAATAGTTCTGAATATACAAGTTTCTTCATAACACACAGCTGAAATCTTCGCCCTTCTTTGTGGGTTAAGAACAGCAATGTCGACCTGTTTTCAGCCGACTCAAACACTTCTCAGGAAGAAAGAAAGGAATGAATTTTTAAACTGAATAGGAGAGGCCAATACCTCCTCCAGGTGTGGCTGTTTCTCTTTCACGGATCTTCCAACCCGAGAAAATAATTTAGTTTTACACAGACCTTTTCCAATAGAGAGAGAACATTATCTCTGTGTATAAGACATTGACAATGAAAATGTAGTTATTAGAGACCATGGCTTTGCTGACACACAAACCAGCTTGTGTCACTAACTGCACTGGCCACACACCTCTGTCATCTCCATGATAATCCTGAAGACCGGCCACAGCACACTGACCCCATGAGCCTACATGGAAAGCACAGGGTGCTCACTGATCTGGCTGGGCCCCTGTGGCCGTGGACCCCCTACTACTCTCCCCCCAGCTCTGCAACTCTCTCCCAGGGCCATTGGTGCGGAAGACACAGATGACTAAAAACTCAAAACCCAGGCCCCCAACTGACCCCAAAAGGTTGAACAATTATCCAACAGATTTCAGATGCGTTATGAAGAAATTCACTTTAACACTTGAAACTTTAAGACGCTGCGTACAGTACAACAGTGCATTAGTGATAGAGGTTGTAAAATACTGTCCATTCCTTTGGGTTTTGCATATGATGGTTTTGCATCAGTCACTGCAGGTAGATTGAGCAAGCTTTGTTTTTGTGTGGGTTTTTTTAAACATGCATTCAACTAGATATAATTCAGAATAGATTAATACTCCCTTTTCATCATACAGTTAGCTAAAAAATTGCCAGGCAGCCCACAAAACAGGATTTGCTTTAAGAACAACCCAGAGTCCGTTGGAGGCTAGTGGTGCAGGCACCTGCTGAGCTGGGCCGCAGCAGTGTTTAGCTAAGTGTCGAGAGCATTACGAAGAAAGTCCTGGTTGGAGGCACGCAGCCTGCAGCACCAGCTGTGGAACCTCCATGTGACCCGC